GGGCGGGGGAGGGGGCGGCGCGCCCGCCGGCTAGCTCGCCACGGTCCGACTGAGCCGTCGGAGTCGCCGCGCGCCGCTGCCCTCTCTCCTCCTCTTCCTCCTCCTCTTGTCTCTCTGTTCCCCCCTTCTCCCCTCCTCTCTCCGCCCAGCGACTTCTTTGTGCCTCCTCCAGACCTCACCTCGGCCTCTCCGATCCCAATTAGTCGGTTTCAAGGGGGCCCCCGCTGGCGGCCCCGCCCTCTCCTCAGCCCCCCAAAAAAGGGATCTTGGAAACCGCCCCGTCGAGCTCGAAGCCCCGTCCCAAAATATGCTCTCAGCCAATCAGATTCAAATCCAGAGACCAGCCCCAAGGGCTGGATTGGCCGACTATAACATAATGAGATCAGAAACCAGATGCCAACAAAACTTTCCCCCCTCCATTTGCTTTTTAAAGAGACAAGCTATTATTACATTAAGAGCTGTTTGCCCGGCCTGGGATTTTGCGGCGGCGAGATCCCGGGACACCTTCCCTAAAGCTGCGGCTGGCCCAGACTCCGCAAACCCGGTCACTCATCTTCAGGGACCAAGGCGCTCTCCTGGGCAGGAACTCTTGAAATTTTTGCTCTCCTCTCTCCCTTTCACTCTAGGAACTCCATTAATCCAGTCCAATTTTTCAGATCAAGTGAAAAAAAAAATTTTTTTTTTTAAATCCACGAGACTTAAAGGGGGAGGAAGTTTATAAAGACTAGTTTCTCTTTCTGACCTCTCTTAAGGAGTGCAGGCAAAAGTTTCACATCACCCCATATGTAGACTCCAAGAAAATAGCTTCGCCCCTCCCCCTTCTACACACACCCTTAAATAACCCTCTGAAAATGGAGAGCCTGTCTCTTTAAGAGGCTCTTAAAGGGGCCTGGACTCCGGGGCGTAATTGCCCCGTAGCGAGCACAAAGGAGCCCATTATGGTTCTTTGTGCTCGGTGGCACCTCAAAGTGAGAAAACTCAGGAACTCCGAAGCCCTTAGCTTCAGGCTTGTGGAGGGGTGGGGGAAGATAAGATGAAGGAGAATGGCTTTCTCCCACCTCCTTCTTCCGAGGCAAATCTTAATTATGCAAAGTTTTGTTGCCTTAACAAGGAGGTCTTAATCGAAAGTTAATGGGTAGAGGGCTCGTGACAGGCAGCTCTGGACTGAAGGGATGACTCTTTTAGGTCCTTGATAAATTTGGGACTGGACAATCGTTTGGAGAAAATTTCCTTATCCCTCCCCACCTCTGCTCCGCCCCCAAAGGCTTCCTAGTATCCTCTCAGCAGAGAGAAAGGAGTTTTACCCAAACCTTAAGTGCTTCCATACCAGAAAGGGTGGTGTGTGCAAGAGAGGAGGCTAAGGGATGTCGAGGATTGTTTCCTAACTCCCCCACCTCTCACCTGGGTTAAGGGGTGGCCAGAGGGATTCCTGCTAGTTTAAAATGATACTCTTTCCCACTAGGATTTAGTATTTTAAATTGGGGAGGGGCGGGTAGGACGGCTGGGGAGGAAAAGGGGGAATTTGCATTTAAATCTCATAGGCCTAGTACTGAATGATGGATCAGTTATTTCTATTGTCTCTCTGGAGGGAAGTGAGGGACTTAAAAATGAGAAAATTGAGTTTAGAAACTCCTTTGCTATGGGCCAAATCCTCCCAGTCTGGCGAGTCTGTTTCCTGTACCAATCTAAAAATGTATTCCTTTTAAAGAAAGGAAAAAGAGGGGGAATTATTTCGTTCATTTATTTATTATTTTTTTTTTAAGGAAGAAGAGGGGAGGAACCCATGGATGGGACGGTGGGGGAGAGCGGGGAGTCTAAATAATTTAAAATTTAGGTTTGAAGGTGCTTTTATCATATCTTGGAGAAGTTGCTTAGGAAGACATTTTTCTTTCCAAATCGAGGGGATACACCTTGGCTTTCCAGGCCATGGCCATTTCCTTTCCATGCACAAATCCATCACTCCTTCGGAGTAATCTGAGGACCCAAAAGTTGCATTCTTTCTGCTCCATGGGACTCAAAGGAACCTGAGCCACTGCTTCAGGCCCTCCTTTCCTGGTCCACCACTAAGGCATCTTTGGAGCCAGTGCCTAGCCTCCGAGCTGAGTTGTTGTTATGTGCCATCGAGTCTCTTGCTACTCATCGCGACCCTATGTACAAGAGCTCTAAACGCTGTTCTATCCTGTGCCAACCTAGCCATCTCAAACGCACTTATTCCCACCACTCCAGTCACAGAATCTTTCCATCTCATCAAAGGTCTTCCTCTCCTTCTCTGCCCCTCCACTCTGCCAAACATGATGTCCCTCTCCAAGGACCAGTCCCTCTGCACATGCCCAAATTAGGTTAGACGAAGCTTCAAAATCCTTGACTCCAAGGAGCATTCCGGCTTCACCCTCTCCAGGACAAACCTGTTTGTTCTCCTAACAGTCCATGGTATATTCAACACTCTTCTCCAGCACCACAGCTCAAAGGCATCAATTCTCTTTCTATCATCCCTATTCACGGTCCAACTCTCTGTTGCATAGCACGTAATTGCGAAGACTATAGCCTGGATCAGGTGCACCTTAGTCTCCAGCCTGACGTCATTGCTCTTCAGTACTCTTGAGAGGTCCCGCACAGCTGCCTTTCCCAATGCAATTTGTCTCCTGATTTCCTGACTGCTGTTGTAGTAGAAACAAATATGAATAAGATTCTCACAACCCATTCAGGAAGATCATGGTCTGATCAGAAATTGACAGCAAATCTCCCCAGCATCTGGCACCCACCTCCCCATGACATCCTTGTTTTCTTTGCCCTAGGACAAAACTCTATTGAAGAGTTACACCCTCCCTGGTAGAAGGCCAGTTGGAGATTGGATAAAGGAAGCATTTCTTTCATCCATTCAGTCAACCTTTTATTCTTTCCGTATACTTTTATTGCGACATATCCTCATTCAATCCACCATGGTAGGTGCTATATGTGGTACAGAGAACCATGATAGCATCCTTGCCCTTCCAAAGTTTATACTGTCCCAGATGAAGAGTGATTCTGTGAAGATCTTATATTTGTCTAACACTTGTACATGATTAATAATGAATTAATAATTCTATTTCATGATTACCCTTGCCATTTACACAAAGTGGTCACGTGTGCACAAAACTGGAGCCACCCTCTTCAGACTACTGGTCCTAACTTCCAGACTTTGAATTCTGTCAGCTTCTCTCTGGATTGGCACTGTTAGGCTAAAAATCTAAATGGAGGTTGAAGCTCAACTCAGAAATCCCTATGCCAGGACATCTTCTGAAACCAAAACTCAGAAAAGCCTATGGCAGGACATTCCTCAGAACCAGAACTCAGAAATTCCCATATTAGGACCTTTTCCAAAACCAGAAACTTTATGCACCAAAGAGCTACTGCAATGTCAAACTCATCTCACATTCCCCTAAAACACACTTGCTAAAACCCCATATAAGCCCCCCTAAGCCCAACCCCCTTGCTGAGTAGCCCGGCACACAATAAACTTTGAGAAGTGTTTCTACCTTGGCGTGGTTCTTGACTTCGATCTGAAACCTTTCAGGTACCAGGCTAGTAACCAAAACCATTAAGAGATAGGCTTATCTCAGTGTGAGTGCTTTCTTAATGTCATTTAATAGAGAAAGCACAAGTTCCAGATTTTAGTTTTCTAAGAAATGCAACCAGAATACTTTTGATAAGTACAGGTGGTAGGGACTTTGGCTCATTTATTTTGGATACATAATCAAGAAAAATCAATTGCTATGAAAAGATATCATGGCTGATAGGTAGAGAGTGAATAAAGACAAGGAAAATTCTCAATGAGATGATTGAGACAATAGCCACTAGAGTGGACCCAGGCATACCAATGATCATGACAATGGCAGAGGACTGGGCAGTGCTTTGTTCTGTTAGATATAAAAGTTGCCATGAATCAGACTGACCCTTCTTGATGACAGCTGACAACAATGGCATTAGCTTGACCTGAACCCGAGTCTTAGCTGTGCAGCCTTTGGGGCAGTCATGTCTCTTTCTTGAACTCAGTTTCTATGCTTCTAATGTGAGAAGATGACAGATGATTAAAATGTGAAATTCCACATCTACTAAAACTTCACAATGACAATTTAGTTCAGAATCACAAAGCATCTCTCAAAACAAGATGTTAATGAATAAAATTCTCATTCAGCAAGCACCCTCAACGTTTCACTACCACTGAGCTTCTATTAAACCCTGCTCAAGCAAGAAGCTGCACTGCAATCCCAGAGGTGTACGGTTCAAATCTACCAGATACACTGTTAGAGAAGGAGGGACGATTTCCTCCTGTACCAGTCAGATCCAATTTGACAGGACACACTAAAAAAATAATAAAATAGAAATTAAAAGAAACAAAAAAAACCCACCCTGCTCATGAACTATTTGTGTGCTTTACAAAGTGGGTATTTTGTTTAAAGGTGAAAAATCTGACATTAGCAACTTTCTAAAGTGGCAAAGCTGAAATTTAAACAGACTTGCTTATTCTTAGAGTTGTAGTCCGTCTCCTATACATCTCCTCAACATCTGTAAAAATGGTATGCTTTTAACTGGGGGAGGGGGTGGGATGGGCGGGGAGAAAAGTGCAACAGTGAATAAATGTAAATCCAAAATCTCTGTAGATGTTCACTGAAATAATAATAAATAAAAAGTAATGAATCATCAAAGGATAGTAAGATCTTCAAAGAGAGAAATTGGCACAGGTGACTGACTACAAAAATGGGTTTAATCCATGTGTATGACAATATTCTTATAAGGGGAATTGGGAGAGGTGAAAGAGAAGAAAATGC